TTCCTGCTGTCCTGGTCTCAAACCACAACAGCTGTACTTCAAACTACCAGCAATCAAGGTGTGCACAGACAAACATCATACTGCAAAAGAACTTTGCAAAATATCAGACAAACAAGAGAAGAGAAACACTGGCACTACATTTACAGATGAATTCTACAGTTTAACATAGACTGGTTTGGGTTGGAAGGGACCTTAAAGCTCATCCAGCTCCAACCCCTGCCACAGGCAGGGACACCTTCCACTAGAGCACGTTGCTCCAAGCCCCTGTGTCCAACCTGGCCTTGAACACTGCCAGGGATGGGGCAGCCACAGCTCCTCTGGGCACCCTGTGCCAGCGCCTCAGCACCTTCACAGGGAAGAACTTCTGACTAATGTCTAATCTAAATGACAAACAACCTGAGACAAAAGCTATTTAGCCTTAGTTTGTGTCATTTTGGTACTTCATAAATGAGGATGGCAGAACAAGGCTGGCTAACTAACTTTAAGGGTGTGGGAACCAACACGAAAACTGATTTCAAGTGACAAAGAACAGCAAGACTGAAGTATGAAAGACAAAACACAACCCTACTCAAGCGTATTGAAAAACAAAGATAAGCAAGTAGGTGGAGATGTAGCAAATCATGAGTTGACAGTTGTGTCCCACCTAATAACCAGCACAAATAACCTCCATGTACTACCAAACGCTGCCTTAGAGAAAAAACCTTCATCATTGCACTGTTTCATGTAAAAAGATCTACTGAAATTATGACTGAAATTTAGAATATGCTGATGAATAGAATAGAAAAAGGAAACATCACAGCTTTGTAGTGAAAAGACTTTAGTACTCATGTTACAGAACTCAATTTCTTGAGTAAACAACTGTTACAGGGAACTGTTTACAGCAACAAATGACAATCTGAAGAGGTGAACTGTTCCTAGTTTGTAAATAGGAAGCATTATGTGGATTACAGGTTGGAGGAGTAGTTATTTGACAGTAATTAAGATAATTTTCTTTTCTGAAAAATATACTGATAGAAGTGAAATATGAGCACAAAATCCTGGAATGCAGCAGAAGTTCATTCATGGCCTTTGGTTCCATGGAGGCCAGCAACGTACTCTGCCTTGTTCCTAGAATAAACAAGATAGTACCTTAGAATCATAGACTCAACCAGGTTGGAAAAGCCCTTCAAGCTCATCAAGTCCAACCATTCCCAGCCCTGCCAAGGCCACCACTAACCCAGGGCACTGAGGGCCTCGTCTACCCGGGCTGTGAACACTTGCAGGGACGGTGACTCCAGCCCTGCCCTGGGCAGCCTGTTCCAATGCCTGAGCACCCTCTGGGCAAGGAATTGTTCCTCAGCTCCAGCTAAACCTGCCCTGGGGCAGCTTGAGGCCGGTTCCTCTTGTCCTTGACCTTGTTCCAAACAGCCAGAGTAGATTCTTTGCCTGAAAAGTACTGATTCTGTGAATACACAAAGGTTGTCCCCGATTCACAAGGCAGTAACCCCAGTAGACAAAGTCCATCTCTAGTCACGCAGCTGGGACACTTCAGGATATGCCATTGTTCCACTGCCAAAGAGCACGTATTTGCCTTGGCTCAGCTGCCTTGTAGATGAAACATTCAGAACTACCTGTGCTTTCTGACTCTCTCCTCTTTGCAAAGGTCATGGCAGGTTTTGAATTGAACCTATTGATTTAAGTATCTTTCCTCACTCCCTCAAGGCCAGATGGGGGCTTGGAGCAACCTGCTCTAGTGGAAGGTGTCCTTGCCCGTGGCAGGGGGTTGGAACTGGATGATCTTGGCATGGTTTTGTAAAATAACCCCAGCAATAAACATACACCCCTCTAGTGTGTATGATTTGATTAGGACGTGAGTGACACAAGTGAAAACCTTCTTCCCCAGAGGGTGCTCAGGCATTGGAACAGGCTGCCCAGGGCAGGACTGGAGTCACCGTCCCTGCAAGTGTTCCCAGCCCGTGGAGCCGAGGCCTCAGGGCCAGGGGTTAGGGGTTTTTGGCACTGCTGGGAATGGTTGGACTGGATGAGCTTAAAGGGCTTTTCCAACCCAGTTGATTCTGTGATTCTATGAGCTGCATCCTAACTGAAGTCTGCCAGAGCACAGACATGAGGCTGAGACACTTCACACCTACAATACCAGCTTCAAGCCATGGGCATCAACAGCACAGTTGCTGTGCTAAGTACACAACACACCACTCTCAACTCCTAAGACTATGTCAAAATGAGAAAAGAAGCCAGTAAAAATATCTTTTCTTATGTGCTGTTCACATCTCACAGTAACATTTGCCCTTTTAAAGGGCTATTAAAGGCTTTAAGTTTGATCATTTCACCTACACAGGCACAGAAACTTCACCACCTCCAAATTCACTTCAGAACTTCAACCCCACCAACTTGCAGAGCCTGTCACAGCATGAACCATCTCTTGTAAGAAAGAAAACTTCATTTAATCAATAACCTTTCCTCAAAGAAATCTGGAGTAACTCCTGCACAGTACTTACAAGATCACGTAGAACCTGCCACGGGTTTATCACTGAGGAAATAACTCCCTTATACAGTGGGACACATTGGTTTGATAGCTGAGGCAGAAGAGCAGAAAGGCTTAAATGTGTGTTCACTTGAGAGCTACTCGATTTGACCAGGGAAGCCTTTGTAGTATGTGTATACTTCAAAGGAGGACACAAAGTCCACTTATGGAGACAGCTATGGGCAGACACCGAGAATGAGTAAAACACTTCAAGGCACATGTGGTTAAGTGAATCAGGAGCCTGTGGGTGATTGTGAATGTTCACCTGAAGACGTGTACTTCATGTGGTTACAATAGGAAGCCTGTTGTTCACACAAAAAACACACTGCCACAACTTGTCATGGAGGAAGTGACCCACGGAATTCAAATGGAAAGAGTTTGATTCCAGAAGTGTTCAAAGAACTCGACCCCTTACAAGCAACAAGTGAGAAAAACCAACCATGACACAATCATAGTCAGAGAACCCCAAGTTGGAAGGGACCTCAAGGATCATCTGGTCCAACCTTTCTAGGCAAAGCATGGCCTAGATTCAGATGGCCCATCTGACACTTCAGTGTCCAATGTTGGGGAATCCACCACTTCCAGTGGGAGATTATTCCAGTGGCTGATTGTTCTCAGTGTGAAAAATTGTCCTCTGGTGTCCAGTCAGTATCTCCCCAGGAATAACTTGTACCCATCACCCCTATTCTTTGTAGCCACCCTTTAAATACTGGAACATGGGGATAAGTCCTCCCGTGAGCCTTCTTTTCTCCAGGCTGAACAGTCCCAGCTCTCTCAGCCTTTCCTCACAAGGCTTCCCAGTCCTTGGACCATCTTTGTGGCCCTTCTCTGGACCCCTTCCAGCTTGTCCACATCCTTTTTGTAGAGCAGGGACCGAAACTGAACCCGGTATTCCAGGTGTGGCCTGACAAGCACCAAGTGGGACAGTGACATCTTTATCTCTGCTGGTGATGCCCTTGTTGATGGTTCCCAGGATCCTGTTGGCTTTCTTTGTTGCAGCTGCTCACTGTTCACTCCTACTGAGCTTGCATGACAGACATGACTCTTTAACCTACAGCTGAAGAGACCAAGTATGGCTAGAGACAACAACCTTCTGTCCCCTCCTGCCAGGATATAGGCTGGTTGACAACACAGGAGTCCCAAGGTGAGTGGATGTCTACACCCTTTATTCACATTTGGCCCTTATCACCAAAGACAAACTGCAAACACACCGAACACATTGTACTTGCTACTCCTCTAGATATGCTTCCATTCCCAAACATATCTGTAGCTAATGAAGACAGTTTCACCTGCGCACTGATAACCACAAGGAAAGATTAAACAAGTCCAAGTCTTCTCAAGCAGAGCAGAAGACAAATACCTGTTTTGACCAGTTCCCATTTATCTGCTTCTGTGGTTATCTGGACTCACCACAAAGCAACACAAACCTCTCAGGAAGTACTTGTCTTTAGATCTAATTTCATCAAGCTGTCTTCAAAGTTATTCGCATGTGGGATCTGCCGTTTGGCAGATGAA